TTTGAATACTGGGCTTTTCACTCTAAATCCTGTGTTCTTTCCATTTCAGCACACTGTTTCAGATGAAGTAGCTGTGGATAGGACATTGCTGAATTAACATGAGCCATGAGCTACTAGAAGATCTTTGAGTCATTTAATCCTGACTTATAGAAGACTCCCTCCTATTTTGTTAGTCATGGCTTCTTGCATTTTATATTTGTTGAATTTATGAGGACTATCTTTCAACATGTGTTTTGACTCCAAATTGGTAACAATTAATAATAATAATAATAATATCAGCTCACATTTATGCAGCACTTTGAGGATTACAAAGTGTGTTATATATGTTATTTCATTTGATCCTCACAACAACCCCTAGAGGTAGGTGCTGTTATTATTCCCATTTTATAGATGAGAAAAACTGAGGCAAGCAAGGGTTCAAGTGACTTGCCCAGGGTCACACAGCTAGTAAGTATCTGAGGCAGGATGTGAACTCAGGTTTTCCTGACTTCAAGTCCAGTCCTTTACAGAAAATCAAACTAAGGCTCTAAATGCCAAATGACTTGCCCACACAGCCAGTAAAATGGCATTCCTGCTGTAGTGTCTGATTACTGTGGGCCAGCCTGAACTATAGCCTAGTTAATAATCTTGTTTAATCTCTGTATTTGTAAAGAGGCATGTGTCATTCTGTGAGCAGACATAGTGCTTAATACACATGCCTGAAAATCAGAATCAAAACTCAGATAAGTACTAAGACTTTGGGCCGCCATGATTTGAATTCTAGTTAAGAAGGACCGATTTATCTAGCTAAAACCAGCAACACTGCTGTGTATACTATTCTTTTTCAGATTAGAGGATAGTTCAGCTTCTGCCTAATTGTGGCCTGTTTAGACAGGACCCTGAAAAAAGTATTTAAAATTCTTAGAATGATTCTCTTCAGGTGATGAACACCCCTCTTTATTGCCTAGTTTTCTTTCTCCAAAGTATGGAGAAGTTATGATGAAACTGAATCATGGAATGAAGCCTAGAGAAAGTGAGGATTCCTGTTACCCTAACAGCATTCTGAGAATTCTGATGGAATTTCCCTCAAGAGTGATATCTAAACTCCCCCAAATTTTTTAGGGCTGCAGAAAAACACATGTGGGGTATGTGTGTGTGCCTCTTCTAAGTGTGGCTGGGTACACTTGCATGTTTCTATCTGCTTTATTGGTTTTTAAAGTGAAAGTTCATTGAGGGCAGAGCCTGCCTTTCTATATGCTGTACACAACCTTTAACATGCTGTGGAGATCAGTAAATGTTAAGCAATAGAAGATTTTGTGATTTTGTGGAAATTAGGCCCATGGAGCTTCTGGGAATTCTAATGTGAAGTAGATTTCTGACATTTTGATCCCTAATCCGTCTTATGTGCATGAAAAAGATTATTTTATTTAACTCAACAGACACGTATTGACCACATGTTATATGTTTAGGCATTAGATATAAAAAACAAAACAACATAAGTCTCTTCCTTTAAATATCTTACAATCTAATAAGATATAGATCATAGTTGTCTATAACAGACTAGATGATTTTCAAAGAAGAAGTTGAAGCAGAATGCTATAAGAAATTTGTGAGTGGAGAAAGTCTTTGAGCTGGGAAGGATCAGGGAAAGCTTTATAGAGGGAGTGGTACCATAGTTTCCTCTTAAAGCAATGGAGAAATATCAACAGATGAAGATAGGGGTAAGGAGAGGAGAAGAGTACATTCCAATTATGTAATGGTATGGAGGAAAGGCACAGGAATAGGAAATAACAAGAAAAGAACAGGGAATAGTTTGGTTTTACTGTAACATAATGTATATGAAAGGGGAAGATGTCACTACACTAGGAACTCATAAGTTAAAGATAAGTCATACAGAGCCTTGAATGCCAGAATTAGAAAATTTATACTATATTCAATAATCTTTAAAAGCAACTAATGGGAGTTACAAGAGTGACATGCACAAGGAAAGATTTTATAGGCAGGCATAGGAAGAAAGGATTAGAGAAAGAAAAGACAAAGTAGGAGTACTAGTTAAGAGGCTATTATAGTAGACGAAGCAAGATATAAGGAAAATTTGAGTTATGCTGGTTGCAGTAGGAGTAGAAAGGACAGACAAATGCACAAGGTATCATATAGAATTGATAGATATGGAAAATGAGGAAAAGTAAGGGAGAGGAAATACTCAAAGATAGCTATGAAGTTGTAAGCCTTATTTAGCTGTATGGTTTCAACAAAAACAAAAAATAGAAAGGTTGGATGGGTAGGTTTTTTTAAGATTATCAGTTTAATTTTGAATATTACAGTTGGGGTGTTTGCAGCCTATCCAAGTGGACGTATCTAGCAGTCATCAGTGCATTACTAGAGATCTGGAGCAAAATTAAAGTCAGAGATGTACATTTTAAGATCATTGGTATGTATCTGATAATTGAAACCATTAGAGTAGATGGTATTATAAAGAAAGAATGTAGAAAGAAAAGAGTAAGGGTAGAGGCTTGAGAGACATCCACATTATAAAGGAGCCAGAAGTGTCTAAGGATGCAGAAGAGTGACTGCAAGATGAACATGCAACATCATATGACAAAAGGAAAGAAAGTATCAAGAAGGAAGAATTGTTCAGTAGAGTTATGCTGCAGAAGAGAAGATAGAGACTGAAAAAATTTGGAATTGGGCAACTAGGTTATCAGTGTCCTTGGGGAGCATATTTTCAACAGAATAGTGGGAAGGAAAGTCATATTGCAAGAGTTTGAAGAGTGAGTGGGTGGTGAGGAAGTGGAGGCAATAAGTAGAGTTAAGAGGTTTTACAGGTTCAAAGGAAGGGACTTTTATTTTTTAAAGACTAGGGTGACCTTAACCTATTTGTAGGTCCAGGAGAAAAAGCCATTAGAAAGGAGACAAAAGGATGTAGGAGAAAACGGATGATTCCTAGAACAACATCTAGGAGAAAATGTGAGGTGAGATCGAGGACACAGGTGGGAAGAGTTAGTTTGGGAAAGAGAACTATTTCTTCCTCCAAGACCAGAGGGAAAGAGGTAATAAAGGATGAAGGGATGTAGATGTTAGAGAAGTAAAAGAGGATGGCCTTAGTTTTCTTAATTAAAGTTGAGAACTTTAAAAAATGCAAATTTCAAATAACCTCCGTAGAGAATGTGATAATGAGAATGAAGATGAGTTATTGTGTAGTAGCAATTATACAGAGCATATATTTCCATATTGGAGCCAGACAAATAGGTCTCATTTTTTTCAGACATTTGGGAATGCCTGACCAAAAGAAGTAGATGCTGTGTTTCCCAAGGTTGGGAGTTAGCAAGGCAGAAAAAAGCAGCAAAAAAAAAAA